TATATTGGTGTTTTTTAACACCACAAAAAAAAAAAGTCACCGTAGGACAGTGGATGTCATGGGCATTGGGCGCACCGGCATCACCATGGCGACGAGCGGACTTGGCGAACAGGCGCGAACTAGGCGGGTGGATGGCGGGACATGATGTACACAGAGACAGACAGACACAGAGAGAGAGAGAGAGAGAGAGAGAGAGAGAGAGAGAGAGAGAGAGAGAGAGAGAGAGTACTTGAGGACAAGGCAAAGAAGGCACAGAGGAGAAAAAAAGAAAGAAGAGGAGCGGGCAGAGGAGAGTGGGCACATACGAGAGGAGCAAAACAGAAAGTGATCTGAAAAGCAAGAAGGCAAGACAGACGGGAAGCAGAAACGGCGAAGACATACGAGAGGACCAAAGCCGGAAGTGATCTGAAGAGGAAGAAGGCGAGACAGACGGGAAGCAGAAACGGCGAAGACAATGAGCTACTAGAAGGGACGACGATAAACGAAATGAAGGGGATGAAAGACGATCGCTGACAGAAACACAAACGAAACAAGGGGAAATGATGGGCGGCACTCGTAAGTAGGAAAAGTCTGTGTGCGTATGTGTGTGCGCGTCCGTGTGTGAATGCGTGCGTGTGTAAGAGAAGGAGAGAGATCCAGTCTCGAGTGCCATGTGGTCGTCGTACACTATTATGGATGACGATGATGACGCTTCGTTTTTTCTCCTCGCACGGTTTTTTTTGTCATAATGACGACGATAATGACGACCAACATGAGGCACAGAGAGAGTGCGAGAGAGAGAGAGAGAGCGAGAGAGAGAGATTTTGTACAAGAAGATGATCTTACCTGGATGCGCAGGCGAAAAAGTCTACCGAGGAAATTGCCTGGATGTATGGAACTGCTTTTACGGCCCAGCCTGGATGAACCCGGCCTTGATGATTCCGTGTAGAGCTCAGTCGAAAAAGTCCTCATGTGAGTGTGCCCTCACTATACCAGACTGAAGAGCCTTCACCCAGGAGGGAAGGATGCGCTTCCAGCTGCATGGCCCCTCCTAGCAACCCCCTGGGGTGCATGTTCCAAACAGTGCAGCAGGTCTTGTCCGGGGCGTGGTATATATTTTTGGGTATCCCGTAAACAAGTGCTCCTCTGTTTTATTCACCCTGTACTTTCGGTCCGGCCGGAAAACCTCCCAAGCTGTACTTAACAACGTCGCTTAGCCTTGCCCTCCTTTTCTCTACCGTCTTCATTGGTTGATATATTTGAATTATTTGATTGGTTGGTTGGTTGATTGATTGATTGGTTGGTTGGTTATGACAGATCGATATTCTCCTCCCCCTCCCTCCCCCTCTCCGCATGTGTGCGCAGCAAAAGGGGACGGGCGGACCTGAGGAGGAGGACATGAGAGAGAAAGTTGGCCGATTCACTATTGCAGGGATGTGACAGAAAGCTTCGGATGGCCCCTAAAAATATGGGCCGTGCGTGAGTTTTGTGTTTAAAAAAAAAAAAAATTAAAATTTGGGTTGATATCCATCGTCCACCTGGACCACTTCAGCACCACTTCGGCAAGCGGTGTGCCTGGGAGGAGGGAGAGCAGAGGTGACTCAGCAAAGGAGCTGACAGGGCATGAGGGGAGGAGGAGGTAGTCAAGGCTGCCAATGGCAAGGGGAGCACGTGGCACAAAGAACAAATAGATAACGAATCCTCCGGCACGTTTCTACCTCCTCCTCAATCCCCCCCTTCTCCGCCGCCTTCTCATCTATTGATATTCTGCTCCTGGGGATGGCGGACAGAGAGCACGCGGCAGAGAAAGAGGAGGAGATTGCAATAGCGGACGAAAAGGTGGCAGAGGATTTGGGGGGGGGTGGACGCGGAGGGAGATGGTGGAGGAGCAAGGGGACTAAACGGCGATGATGGGGGAAGAGGAAGTTGAGAAGGAGGATATGGCGGAGCAGGAGGACGGGGTGGCAGAGGAGGAGGAGGAGATGGCAGAGGAGGAGATGGCGAGGAGTGACTGGGAGGAGAAGCAGGAGGTGGGAGAGGAGGACAAGCTCGCCGAGAAGAAAAGGGCATGGCGAATCAGGAGGTGGCGGACCATGACGAGGAGGACGGGACGAGGTGGTATGGGAAATGAGAGTCTCTCCCCCCCCCCCCCCCCCCCTCTCTCTCTCTCTCTCTCTCTCTCTCTCTCTCTCTCTCTCTCTCTCTCTCTCTCTCTCTCTCTAACTAGCTAATTTGAGGGCCGTCCTGAGTGTATCTCACCCAAATTACGTGCAACTACCCAATTAGCTGTGATGGAGACTTGACGACAAGCCACGTAATCCAGCCTTGATGACATGGCTAATGAGCTGATTAAGGCGTGATGACCAATCACCTGATCAACATACAGCTCCACTACAATGGGGGATCAGTCACAATGAATCGATTAATCAATCAGTCTTGAATGGTTGATTGATCGTGACCGTTCTGATCAAATTGCAAGAGGGCAGTGATGGTTTATTTCATCCAAAGTAAAAAGAAATGTGTGATACAGAGAGACAAATTACAACAGCGGACCAATCACCTGATCAACAAACAGACCCACCACGATGAGGGAACCGTCACGATCAATCTATTAAAATTAAACAATCAATCATTGATTGATTGATTGATTGATTGATTTGATCGATTGCCACTGTTCTGATCAGTTTCATATCTATGCCGGGCAACGTGTTTCATCAGGGCCACAAAAAAAAAAAAAACGAAAAAACATTGTCTTGAACGCTTTCTTCTTCTTCTTCTTTGATTAATTGATCGTGGCATTTGTTGCATCGTTTGCAGATGTTACCGTCCTCCTGATGTGAGTGCGAAACAGCGAGAGAGAAACAGCGAGAGAGAGAGAAAGAGCAATTGTGGTGATATGCCGGTTTCTTCTCGGCTTTCGGCTTTCCACAAACAGGGGTCTGACAACGTCTGTGCATGGTGGTATTGCGGAGACATCCTGCTATTTGTTCTCCTCTTCCTCTCTCCTTCAGACCACGTGCCCGCGCCGTGCGGCCGTTTTTTATAGACAGATAATGCGATACCCAAGGGCGGCCTCCTGCTATCTGCTATCTGTGCATGGTGGTTTTGCCGCATTTTATAATTTTATAGACATCGATGGAGGGGAGTCACAGATGAGCAGGTTAACGAGACAAATAATGCGAAAAAAAAAAAGCTGAAGGAGAAGGAGAAGAATCTCCATGAGATCCCCGTAAGTGCACAAGGGCCAAAGACAGGCGAGTAGATGATTCCCGTAGGAGAAGAATCTCCATGAGATCGCCGTAAGTGCACAAGGGCGAAAGACAGGCAAGTAGATGATTGCCGTATAATCGAGTTGGTTCCTCTGTGTCTTTCAATCCCATAGTAAATGAAAGTGGGCCCACCAAAGGAGATCGATTAATTGATGGACTGCTTGACTGGCGGACTAATTAGTGGGCCCACCAAAGGAGATCGATTAATTGATGGACTGATTGATTGACGGACTAATTACTACGCTGTGAAAAGAACATAAACAGGAGCACGAGGGCGTTTCCCAAAATGCACGGTGAAGAACACACGGCTGAACTGGAAATCGATTCATGGATGCACCAAGACACATTTTGGCCGTAAATGCAAAAACCGAAAATACTGTACTCGTGTAATATGAAATGGATGCAGTGATTACAAGCTGGGTAGGAGGCAGCAAGAGGAAGGGAAACTATTTCGAGAGGTTGGATGTAAGCTGGGTAGAAAAGATTGAGAGATCGAGAGATCGAGAGATCGAGGGATCGAGGGATCGAAACAACCCACCCACTTCCTCATCGGCGATGCTGTCATCTCCCGCCAGCACAGCAGAGCCCACTCCAGCGGCTGCTGGAAGCTTCCACCTCCATAGTCCTAACTTGCTCCAATTAACTCCATTAGAGAACGATCCCGCCTCAATGACGTCGGCTTTGGCGTCTAGCTGAAATCCATGGCCGTCAAGCAGTGCCCTGAGTGGTCCCCACGAAGTCATGCCACGCGTCAAATTTCGAGAGCACTTGGCGAAAGCCACTTGGTTAGGTGCGGATTCCTTCCTGACCGCCGAAGGCACGCTGCCGCTGCCACTGCTGCCACTGCTGCCGCCGCTGCTGCTCAACCTGGTCGCCACCGACGTAGCATCTGTCAAGCAGGGCGGGAATGAGGCCAAGCGCAGGCATGCCGCCGCCATGGCAGGCGCCGTCCGTGAGCTGCGCGCCGAAGCGCGAACTACGAGGGTCAACGTGGTGGCGCCTTGCCTTCTCGATCTTGTCGTCTACCGAGAAAACGTGTGTGACCTGTCCTGCATGCGCGCGTGATCGATGACTAAGGAGAGGGAAGAGACCAACACTCACAGCCAACCTGGAAGCGCAGGAAGTGGGAATATCGGCCGAAAAGAGGACGGGGAGCCGCAGCAAACATAACAACGGACAGGCCGTCGTCTAGCAAGAAAACGTACAGCTTGTCCTGCATCCGCGCGTGACAGATGACTAACAACGAGAGAGTGAAGAGACCGACACTCACATCCAACCTGGAAGCAGAGGAAATGGGAATAGCGACGGCAAAGAGGGGGAGCCACAGCAAAACGTAGCACACAAGGGCAGACACACGAAGACACTGGGGGAATGGAAGAGATAGAAGGCGTGAGGAATGAACGAGAGAGCGAGTGGATCAATATAAGGCTACGTCAGCAGTAACTAGCTGCTGGCAGACGAACGAAAATTGGCTTATTTGCCGAGCGCGATGGCCTCCTGCACGTAGTTTGGCAGCTGCGACGGCGAACAAGAACGCACAAGACCAGATCGATAGATGAACGAAGGGATGATAGACACCATAAATAGATGGGAAGAGGAACGATGGAAGGGTGGATGGATGGGCATATTCTTGCGGGATGCTGCTAGGCCAGCAACCTGCTGCGTTTTCACCAGGTCCGGAGATATAACCCGGCCACGACGATCCCGCCGAATCACCACCGGGCGATGTCCGCGTAGCAGCAGAATCGATGAATGATTCCCGCTCGCGCCCGACGTGTTAGCGGCACTGAACGTTCGCGCGCCACGCAAAATGCAAAATTTCAACACTTGATTTGTTAGGAAATGACGAGTGTCCGACATGCAGCATGGCGAATTTCGTCTAGCGGCACACGATCGAAAAAAGATCCCGCCCACGACCGAAAATCCGACGGACCGACCGACCGATCAGAGGCGCGGCGGGAGAACACAGGAAACACACGCACACACACGCACGCCAGCCCGCGCGGTAACGGGCAAACACACGGAACACACACACGCTCACCCGGCGCGTGCAGTACCGCCCGACCCCCCGAAGACGGCGGGATTCTGCCGTGGCATTCCCTTATACCTTATAATACCCAAAGGAAGGGCCAAAAAGGGGGAAAGAACGCAAAAAACACGCAAAACGAAAATTTTGCGTAATTTCAGGTCAACCGGCGCCGCCGTGGGTTTTTTTTTTTTTTTGGGGGGGGGAGCGCCGCCGGTTTTCTTTCGCGCCACTACTGTAGCGTCTACTTGGCAATCGGATTCCACATCGACAACAATCCTGTCCTGTTCACTTTCTGAACGGTGAGAACTGCGCAGCGACTCTCGAGAACAGCCACAGGCGGCGGCAGTGGCGGCGGTCCCGCCTGCCGTGACACCTGGTACCCCCCCGCCTCCTTTTGTCTCTGAAAAGGGTACAAGTGCTGTAAGATCAATGCGATCTTTCTTCTCATTCGAGTCTTCTGTAGAGGGAGAGACTCTAACGAAGGGGCGGGTAAGGGCCTGCCTTTTGCACCACTTGCCATCCACCAAGATTTGAATGCACCTGGTCATGATTTTGTCCAGGTGCATTTAGAACCTTGGCTGAAGGGCAGTGCCGCAACTACCAGGCCCTACCAGAAGCAGAGTCGGGCCGATTCATCCCTCACCTCACAGGGGGGGGCTTTTCCCATCCAACACCCTACGTTTTTCACGCTCGTTTTGCACATTTCGAGAGTAGTGCAGCGAGGCCCATTGGCGGCGCTTGCTACTTTTCGTGACCAATATTCGACGAGTGCCGTCCTCCTAGAGTACACCTGGGACAAATAATTGGCCCCATCCGTATCATCCAGTGGTTCCTTGTTTGGCATGTTATGTCCCCGCTCAGGGCCTCGCCACACCACTCTCGAAATGTGCAAAAGACAAAAATTTGGCGGGCGCATCTGGCCATGTTCGAGCGGGAAGTTCGGTCTCAATTTGCACATGTCGAGAGTGGTGTGGCGACGCCCTCAAGCCGGATTTCGAATCAAATTTCGGTATGCGAAAGAAATAAAGAAAAGAGAAACAGGGACTGATAACGAAATCCGAAGTGCGAAAAGCGCCAATCTTCCGCGGCTGTCAGATCTTTTCGTTTTGTTGTTCCTTTTTCTTTGGGAGAAAGGGCCTCCAACCACCTTTTTTTTTTCTGTTTTTTTTGGGGGGGGTACTCGCTTCACTTCGCCGTGCATCTATTCGATACTCTAGCGGAAGATTCATGGTCATTTTGACCATTTGGTGACTACAGGTAGTGGGGCGAGGCCCAAAGACAAGCTTCATCCAGCTGGTTAGGCACGCAAGTGGCATTCAGGACTTTGTGGGTTCGAGCCGACCGCCTGCGGCGCCTAAGCCGTGATTGTCCGCTTCATACCTCTGATAGGTGTTAAGAGGGTCTTTGGCAAACACGGGTGTGAGTGTGAGTGTGAGTGGGTTGCGTGTGGGTGTGAGTGCGAGTGAGAGTGGGTTGTGTGTGGGTTTGAGTGTGAGTGTGAGTGGGTTGTGTGTGGTCTGTGGGAGCTATGTTTTTTATATGGGAGGCTATTCGACTTCGAAAAGAAAACATAGATAAGTTTTTTGAAATCAGAACTCACGGCTGCTAGTCTATTGGGGGTGGCATACCATGAAAAGGGAGGCGCAGCTGCTGGCAAAATGCTCGGTCTTTGTGCCGGACCTCCACCGGTGGCCTTGCACCATCCCTGACGACAGCTGTTGGGGCAGGGGCAACATGAATCCCTCGTGAGCCACCTATGCTTGGAGGGGTCCCCTCTATATATCCTTAGGAGTAGTGGTACGTAGGTAGTGAAAGGCCAAAAACGAATTTGAGAGAGGAATAGTGTAGTTTCTGAAAAGAGAGAGTGTGGGCCCTTGTGGGGCTTTTTAGCCCACCAGTGTGGGCTACTGGTCAGCATTACATCCGGAAGTGTGCAGTGAGCAGGCGGCAGAACAAATGACAGACAAATCAAATGGGGTTTCGGGGCCAAAAAATCACTGGCAACACTACGCCAAAGCCTACGCCCGAGCCTATTCTCCTGACCCTGTGGTTTGCCTACCCCTGGAGGGAGACCCCACTAACAACAGGGTTGGTGAATGGGCAAGTGTGTGCCACAGTCTAGGGGGATATTTTGGACGGGAAAGTGCAAAGAGGGAGGAAACAACTGACCACCAGAAAAAACAACAGAGTGGTGCTACCCAGCCATGAAATGATCCCAATGGTAGATGTCTCCAGAAAAATAAAGGAACAAATATCTTGATAGCCTTTGTCAATGGGTCTCACTCCGCCACTTTATATTCCTCCATTTTTCAGTGCGAGGCTCCACGAACTCTCGATTTGCGACCCTCAAAATTTGATCAGGACGTATTAGACAGATTTCTCCAGAGGAGAAAAATCGAGAGACAGCTTGCACACTCACAAAAAACTAATAACCTTGGTCAGGCCCCTCGAGCTGCCCTCATTTGCAAGAGTTGGCAGCATCTAGGGACCCATGAGTCAATAGTTTTCGTAGCCGTGTGCTCTGGAAAACGGAGAGAGGTTCAAATTTGTGAAAATCAAAAGTAGGTGAAGCGGGGATGCTAAAAGTTTGTTTTCTGAAAAGCTGACAACTCTCGGCCTACTCTCAATTTTTAATCGAATCGAGAGTGGTGTTGCAAGACCCCATATCTCCAGAACAATGAAGAAGCAGCTATTTTATTAGTCCTTGTCAATTGTGATAGTGACATCTCAAAGATATTTGGTAATTGAGGAGTGGTTATTACGTCTGATATACCCATGAGCTCATTTCGACCTCCATTCGAAAGCCCCAAAGTCCTTTATCTCGTGGATGTATACCCAACCGTTCTTCTAAACAGGATTGCTGCACGCCCGCCATCATCATCACAAGTTTCGAGTAGCCAAAGAGGGGCATGAAGCTTGTGTACCGTGAACAGCACTAAGCTTATGTGACGTACTAGCTTTTATTGAGTGTGGTTTTTGCATGGTTTCATTTTTTGGCTATTTTCAGGAGCGCATGGATACTACCTTCTTCCTCCAAACGTAATGCATATGTGTTGTAAACGAATACAAAGCATAGGGTGTGTTCTATTTGAATACAACGCATATGTGTTTTATTTGATTAGACCTGATTTCGAATATAACGCATATGTGTTCTATTCGATTTTTTCCCAAATTTGAAAACTCGAATACAACTCATGTGTTATGTTCGAGGGAAGAAGGTAGGTAGATTTCTTATGTAAAATTTCTTATCTTTTTACATTTGCTTTGAAGTTTTTTAGAGTACGATAATTTTGAAAGTCGTATTCATTCCATTTCTCTTGGAAAGCCTAGAAGAGGGAACACATCTTTAAGTTTAGGATGGTTAACTGCACGAAGGCAAGCACTAGGAATAAAGGCAGTGGATATAATGGAATAAAGGCAGTGAATTTAACGTGTTAGGCAGTTCTCTTGACATGCGTCTACACCGTCCTTTCCACATCTTCTCGAATTCTTATTGCTTGCATACTTCCATCTTCTTGCTGCAGCCTCCTTCTTCCTCTTGTGCCTTTAACCTTCCCCGCACATTTCCTTCTCGTCATTTTCACGATGTCTCAATTGTTTCCCCACCCTTTTCTCTCCCTGGCCCTTTCCTCTCTTTCTCACTTTCTATCACTCTTGCTTCTTTTTTTTCTCGTACCATTGGTTCGACAATCATGGATGTTGGGTCGTCATATAGAGAATGCCTTCGTTCAAACGTTGCAGTCCAATAATGCAAGATCACCGGATATCTCCTCACCTTCTTATTTCTCGCTATTTGTTTATCACCTTGTTTATGCATCTCTTTCTCTTTTTTTGCAATTATAGAACTGACAAGTGCAACCCCTTACTCTCTCACTTCTTTTACATCGATCAGATTGATTAGCTTGGTGCATGATTGATGGGGCCAAACAGCCTGGCATCACGGCATCCGGTTAGGTGGGGTTGGAGTCAGTTGGTAGGTTCACTGTAACTAATTGCAAACACTCAAAAAAACCTAACATGTTGATGTAGCCAACAAGGAAATGACACCACTTCAAAAAACAACGAGTTGTTATCGTCAGCATGAGTGGAAGGGTCGTAGGTAATCAACTTGGATGCCCTGTAGGAGAGGCGGCTAATCTAGATGTTTCTCTTTAAATTGAAGTAATTGAATGAGATATTTGATGATTTCCCCCCCCCCCCTATAGTTCATTTATGAGTTTATAACATTTAGTATTCGTATGGATAATTTTCTCTCTCCATTTTCCTCTAGTGATTGCTCCCTAGCGTTATTGGATAATTGATTGTCGTATGTTATCACCAAGTGGATGAAAATTTGAAAAACATTAAAGAATGGTTACATATGCCGGCATGTCTTGAAACCCTCAAAAACCTTTATTCACTGAGAGAAGTTTGTTATTTTTTCCTTACAACGATCATTAAAAGTATGCATATGAATAGGATGTCAAAGAGTTTGCAATTAATAGAAAAAATATATATCTTTCATGCAAGTCATTTTTCTTGGGTTATATATGTAGTTTTTTTATTGGTGAAATTATATTTTACTCATATCATGAATTTTGCCTTATAATGAGTTGATGATTATTCCCCTAACAATGATCGCTAATGCATGTTCACGAAACTTGTGTTCCAACTGTAGACAATGACAAAAGTATCACTGTCAACGACAAGGCTTCACCTACATGCAACATACAAAAGCGAAGTATTGAGTAACGC